CGGGGAGAAGTGGGGTCCAGACGCATGAGTCGGGGGGAAGGGGGGACCAGACGCATGAGTCGGGGGAAGGGGGGACCAGACGCATGAGTCGGGGAGAAGGGGGACCAGACGCATGAGTCGGGGAGAAGGGGGGACCAGGCACATGAGTCGGGGAGAAGGGGGGAGAAGTGGGGACCAGACACATGAGTCGGGGAGAAGTGGGGACCAGACGCATGAGTCGGGGAGAAGGGGGACCAGACGCATGAATCGGGGAGAAGGGGGACCAGACGCATGAGTCGGGGGAAGGGGGAGGATGGGTGATGCACCTGGATAAAGTCGCTCTCAAACACGGGCACGTCCTTCAGCAGCAGGTACTCCCCCTTGCCCAGGAGCTGCTGCAGCTTTCCCACAGAGCTGCCGAACATGGGAAGAATGCGGCAGCTCTGAGTGCTGTCGTCTGGTGACTCCATGCCGCTCTCCGCGCTCCCTTGCGCTAAGTCCCCGAGAAGAGGAGGCAGGTTATTTCGTCCCTGTCACTTAGAATGTCTCCCTACCACCGCCGCACAACACACACAGCCTGCCACGGTGTGACTTAGACACGGGCCCTCCGCGGACACGCCCGCCCGGGGTTAGTTGGCAGTTAGCAGGCAGGGCCCGCGGGGGGACTGGAGGGAGGCGCGCCTCCTCTTGGCTGAGCTAGACCAGCACCAGGATAAGCGCACGGCTCGGTGATCGGTGCAGGCCCGAGCGGGGCCGTACCCTCGCTCCCCAGCCAGCTTGTGCAGGGAACAACCTCTACAACCGTGGAGATGCCCTGCTGACTCCTGACTCAGACTCCAGATGTTCACCCCCCACCCCCGCCCAGGCCCACGACAGTTCCCTACTTTCACCACGGATTCACCGCACCCAAGAACGTGGCCACCACTTCCAAGCAAAGACAAACCACCGGATCTGAGCTTTTCACGTGTTCTACCTTCCGGACTGCTTTCCATCTGCACCACTGCCCCCTCCCTGCTCCCTGGTCAGGACCAGGATCAGCCCCTCCCTGACCCCGGTCAGGTCCCCACTCGGGTCCAGAGTGCCCACGTCCCAGGCAGGTCCGTGCTGAACGGCTCCCTCGCAGGCCTTCCTGCACTCGCCCTGGGGGTTCCCACCCTGAGTCCCGGTCCTGATGAGGTTCTCCCCCGCCCTCTCCGGGGTCTTCCCTCGGGCTCTCCGCGAGGCGAGGGTCAGACGCACTCAACCCTGGTCTAGGTCGTGGTCTGGGCGCCGCTCCCTGCTGTCACTGCCCCGCGCAGGGCACCCCCTCCCTGGGCCCCGCAGGGCTGACCCCTGCGCCTCCGGGTGGGCACAGCCAGGCTGCACCAGACCCCACCTCGGGGGCGCGAGGTGCAGCGGCCGGCCCCGCTGCCTCGGCGCCCCCACTCTCCCCCTGACCACGCTCCCCACCCGCGTGTCCCGGGAACCCCCGTCTCCCCGTCGCCGCGCAGGCTGCCTTTCAGCTCTGTCCATTGTGACCTGGAGCCGTCACACAACACTGTGTCCTCATCCCCACAGGCGACCCCTGCGAGAGCGACAGCACTCTGCACAAACACCGCCGACCCACGACGGAAACCGCAGCAGAAGACGCGCAGACGCAGTCGGTGCCTCCTCAGGGAAAGGGTAGCCCTCCGCGGACGGACACGGAGAGCGCATGCGCGGACACCACCCGCACCACGTCCGTGAGCTCCTCTGGTAAGGGACACGACAGGAGGCGGGCCAGCAGGAGCGCAAGCGCAGTCACTGCCTACCTGGAGCCGGATGGCCAGAGAGCCGTAGGTCCGGGCGCATGCGCACAGGACACTGCACAAGAAACGGGTCTGATGGTTGGAGCTGGAGGGAGCTGGACCGGGAACGTGAGCCTTCCTGGCTTTACAGAGAAGGTGGCGGGAAGGTGCTCCCGCCCCGTCGTTGTCTCCTGCTATCTCCTCGCATTGTGCACTCAGACTGCAGCAGGTGACTAAAGTCGGCCTTCTGTGACCATCCCAAGTAAGCTAAAGGAAATCTCAAAAACAGGAGAACCAGAAAACCAGTAAAGTGAAAGCATGCAAGCAGTGTTTTTGAACAATCAGATATGATAGAAACATAATGAATTAAGATGACTTCAGGGCCTTTCTGGTGTCTTTGTGGAAATCAAAAACCCTTAATTTTTACAACAACAAATTTTACCTTGTGAAGAGCAAGTATTTGGGAGAACTGCTGGCAAGAACTCATAGCCCTTGTCCATTTTTTTAAATTTTATTTTAAAGAAAAACAATTGGCTTTATTTTTTAACACAGTTTTAGATTTACAGAATTGAGAAAATAGGTCAGAGAGTTCCATATATCTCCCCTCTCAGATTTCGCTCCGCTATTAGCATCATTCTGTAGTGTGGTATATTTCATTTATGAATCAATATTGGTATATTATTATTAACTAAAGTCCACAGTTTATATTAGATTCACTCTCTGTGTTGTACAGATTAATCGGTTTTGACAAATGCATGTCATATGCCCATCACTACACTGTCATACGGAATAGTTCCATGCCCTAAAAATCTGTGCTTCAAATATTTATTTTTCCCCTTTGCCCTGAGCTCTTGGTGATCATTGATATATATGTGTATATATATATTTTTTTGATCATTCGTATTTTTAACGTCTCTGTGGTTTAATCAGGAAAGGATGTTGTATTTTGTCAAATGCTTTTTCTGCATCAATTGAGAGGACCAGATGGTTCTTCTCCCTCCTCTTATTAATGTGTTCTATCACATTGATTGATTTGCGAATGTTGAACCACCCT